TCCAGGAGCTTTCCCAGAAATGCCAGAAATTCTCTGTGCACATGCTGGATCTGGTTCGTGGCTCAAAAGAGTTGGAAATCGTCCTAAATCATACCACAACAGCCTGGGAAGAAGTGAGTTTGTTCCTTTTCTTCAAACTCAAGACATTGAGCAAAGTTTCCAGGTTACCACAAGGGGCACACCAACGACTGAACAATTAGCACGATTAAAACTTGCCATTAAACTGCGACAAAAAAGGGTGAGACAATTTTTTTGATTGTTTGGCTTCAGAAAATTCAAAAGCTTTTAGTTTGTGGCTCACCCGAATTGTCAACAACTTCTTTCCGGTCTCTGGTATGAGGGTTTGCCCGGGTTTAGAAACAGGAATATTGTTTACAAGGTTGGTCAAATCTTTTCAAACCTGTGAATTGTGGTTTAGTCACTATCAACAAGAAAGCTGAGGAAAAGTCGAGATACATTAGCTGAGAATCAAGAAAAGCTTTGAGAAAGACTTCACTTCGTCAAATTTTCTAGCCTTAGCCCGCCAAGATGATTTTTTGGTTTTTTTATCTACAGTTGGAAAAAAGTTTGTTGATTTACTTTCATGTACGACTATATATAACAATCGTGTTTATCATATTCTATTATGTTTGCATAATCAACGAAATGGACGATTTCTTAGATTTTCCACAGAAAAATTTTAAAAAAAAGTTCTCAATCCCATTTCAGTGCCTTCTGATAGTAGTGGTATCGCTATCATTCCCCATACTTTCGATGTCGTATTTAATCGCTCCTACGTCGTCTATCGCTCAATTTACGCGGAAGCCTTTCATCAAATTTCTCTCGCATTCCGCCAGTTATGTACTGTTTTTGTGTAAGTTCCTTGTTTTCGTCACCTTCTACCAGCTCCTCCGACCCCCTCAGTTGGTCCGCTTTAGTATTGTTAATAATGGCCAGTCAAAAGATAGATTTGGTCGACAACTTCTTTCGTGAGGAAAACGCCCCGGATCGGAAAGAAGGTCGAGGACCTCCTCCCACTCCCGTGGAGATTGCGATCATGGTTTGGGTACTAGGTGGGCAACGATCCCGATTTCTCCCCGAAAAAGCATGAGCAAATTTTTCAGGACTGATATGGGTAGAGATCAAACAACTTTGGGATTCTGGCTTTCACGACTATTGTCACAATTTGTGGAATATTCTGGATTTCATTACCAACTCGCTCTACCTTTCGACAGCTGCTCTCCGGATAGTTGCTTACTGCCAGGTAAAGTTATACATTATGGCTTCAATAAAGCCGCGTCCCTTTTGCACCGCTACAGTATGCTATGTATCGTAAGCTCGAGCGCTAGATGCTTGCGATTTGCCTACCTTGGTCCCCGAAAAAAGCCCTATTTTAGCGCATTAGCATTTTTGATTTTGGAAGGCAGGCGATTACGGTAGCCATATTGCGGTAGCCACATATAAGTGTACGAAAGTGCCGTAGCCCCTATAGAAACTTCAACGCCTTTCTTTAAGGTTGACAAAGAGATGAAAGATCCTCGAATG